AAAGAAATTGTTCTCACAGGCGTGACACCCTTTTTTTATGATGGGTTTCAAAGACACATCAATTTAAACAATCTTTGCAAATTCTTTCTGTACTCCCTCACTAGAAAGCCACCTGGAAATATTGAAGACAGTGAATTTAAATACAGTGCATTGGTGAGTTGACTCGTCTTTCAATGCTTCATCATGTCTCTGTATTTATTAAGGACACACGGCTGCCAGGCACTGACCTCATGGCCCCTGAGACGGGTGGGCACTAGAGCAAGGGGAAGTGTACCTCTGCCATGGAAAGTCAGTGGCCAAAGTATGTCTCTTGCAACAACACAAGTAAATTTGTGTATAAATAAGTTAGAAACTCTTTGAAGATAAAGCAGTCTTCAGTTCCACTAATACTGATGAACTAGAGGCCAGATGCACGAAATTCATGCAAGAGGCTCAGCCCTCGCAGCTGCTGTGGCTTGCCTCGGCCCTCGCAGCCCCGGCTTCGTCCAGAAGGTCGTTCGGCTGTCCAGTCTAATTAGCAAATTACGCTTTTATTATTATAGATAGTGGATTTTTTAATATTATGTCTTTATTTTTGGCAATATCTCAGAGTTGCATTTTGCTCTAAGAAAAGTAATTTCATAGTAACTCAAGCCTAAGTCTTGAAAGAGTGCTTTGCCATGATCAAAAAAGCAGATGAGCATCTGGTACTAATTCCACAAACTGCAGGAGTTGAAACAGAGATGTCTAAGCTGACGTTGGCATGAGTCCGGCTCATTGTGTTTGCACACAGTAAGTACATGTTTTTAGTGTCAAGGCTAAAATAACGTAGTAGAGTCCCACAGGCCCAGGTTGAAATCCCAATTCCCAGGAAGAAATGACGCAAATGTCTTTGAATAAAGTGATAACATGGTTCCCAGGGAAGGTCTTCATTTTGGTTCCTATGATTGCCAACTTTTAGTTTCTGTTTTTAGAGGCCCGGTGCATGAAATCGTGCACTTGGAGGGGAGGGGTCCCTCAGCCTGGCCTGCACCCTCTCTCAGTCCAGGAGCCCCCGGGGGATGTACGACTGACGGCTTAATGCTGCCATGAAGGCAAGAGAGGCTCCTGCCACCACCGCTGTGCTCACCAGCCATGAGCCTGGCTCAGGGCTTCTGGCTGAGCGGTGCTCCCCCTGTGGGAGTACACTGACCACCAGGGGCAGCTCCTGCATTGAGCGTCTGCCCCCTAGTGGTCAGTGCGCATCATAGCAACCAGTTGTTCCGCCATTCGGTCGATTTGCATATAAACTTTTTATTATATAGGACCTTTTATTTCCACTTTGCTCTTTTCTCTTTTTTTAATATATATATCTCAGAGAGAAAAGGAGAGGGAAAGAGAGCTAGAAGCATCAATGATGAGAGAGAATCATTGATTGGCTGCCTCCTGAATGCCCCCCACTGGGGATCAAGCTAGCAACCCAGGCATATGCCTTTTACTGGAATCAAACCCGGGACCCTTCAGTCCATGGGCCGACGCTTTATCCACTGAGCCAAACCAGCTAGAGCACGCTTTGCTCTTTCCTATATCTTCTATTTATCTCCTTGTTATGTTCATGCTTTCCTTTAAGTCCCTCAACATATTTATAATAGCTGTCTAAAATTCTTGTCTGCTTTTGATCATTATTGTTTTTTTTAGTCTATTTATATTTCCTGATTTTGATTCCCACTTTCCTGCTTCTTCCCAGTAATTTCTGAGAGTCTAAATTTTTTGTTCTTCTTTTAAAGATCAGCTTTACTTGGAAGACGGTTAAATTGCCTGCAGATCAGCTTTCAGGGATTGAATGTAAACTCTGTTGGTACGGACTTATGGTGGCCTTTAATCTAGGGCTATTTAGCCTTAATATCAAGGCATGGCCCTTCTGGGGTCTCTATTACTGTACCAGATGTTCAAAAAGGTATCATTACTATGTGGGTTCAGAACTCTACCATCTCTCAATTCTTTGTGAGTGCTGGGACTTGTTTAGCCTATAGCTTCCTAGTAGTTTGTTCTGTTCTCAGTAATTGTTCTTTGACCAATCACTTGAAATCTCATTCTAAGTATGCAGGGCACAGTATTGTGGGTCGCGACCCCCGAAAATACATCCTGCATATCAGATATTTACATTACGATTCATAACAGTAGCAAAATCACAGTTATGAAGTAGCAACAAAAATAATTTTATGGTTGGGGGTCACCACAACATGAGGAACTGTATTAAAGGGTCGCAGCATTAGGAAGGTTGAGAACCACTGCGCTAGAGACTCAATGTGACCCCATGCAGATGTTTGGGGCTCTTTATCTGGGCAATGCCCTTCTCTCTGATACACTGGCCCACAAAGTCTAGCCTCTGCAGCCTCCCTGACCCCCGATCCGTTTCCCCAACTCAGTGAGACCACCATGCTCCATTTAGAATCCCCTTCCAGGTACTATGTGTGATTCAGGAAGTTTCTCCAGGCAGAAAATCCCTTTGTTTCCCTTCTCCCAGTGATCAAAATGCTGCATTGCCAGTTGTCCAGTGTTTGCAAACAGATGTCTCATAGACTTTGTCCAGTTCTTTCTTTATTTACAATGAAGAAAGGCACCCAGGACCCGGGCTTCCCTCGCAGCCCTGGCTTCGTCTGGAAGGATGTCGGGTCTAATTGGCATATTACGCTTTTATTATTATAGATTGTCATTACTTATTGTTAGCTGTGGCTCCTTGTCCAAGGTACTTCTCTAGGACTCACGTTTTACATCGGCACAATGGTCACCATTTTATTTATTTTACAATATTTATTGAGCAACTACTGTGTCCCACGAACTTCAGGAGAATAAGATGTACTAGCGTTCATATGAGAGCAGACAGACGATAGATGTGTGCAGTGGCTGTATCGTTCCTATCCATGGACCTGGTATGCTGACCGACTTTCTCTCTTCATCTCCCTGTTTTATTTGAAGCCCTCCTCTTAGACACTGTGCTCAGACAGTCTGGGCTCTCCCTCCTCCTGGGCTGCAGTCGCAGGCTGGGGATGGCTGGTGCTCAGGTCTTCTCTGGAACGCCGTTGTGTTTGTTTTCATGGCTCCGTGTTCCTTCCTCATTGATCCCCATGTCGCTGCTGAGGTGGCTGCATTGCTCCCCGTGTGGCCTCTGGGGCCAGTGGCACACGCTGCCATTTCCTGGCCACTCTTGAAGCCATAAACATATTCTACTTCGCACACTTAATGCTGAGGTGCAGGAGCCCCGGGAAGCCTCTGGAACACCCCCCGGACACTCCACACGTCCCTTCTCTCGACGGGACACCATTGCCTCTGCAGGTCTCCGATTTCCTGGTCTCCTGGCGCACCCGGTAGTCTCCATTCTCCAGGCTCCATCTTCTAGGGGAGCCAGGCGGCGGGGCCTCTGTCTCCAGGGACCAGGCCATCTCCTGCCCTCACTCACTCCCCCTCTCCCCTCTCCCAGACCCATCATGAGGAAATACCCTCATCTAAGGGGAACCTTTACCTCCTGAATTCTCTGTCTTTCAAACGGTGTGATTATACCCCACATCCTTTCTGTTTCTCCTTTTCTGCAGAAATCCTTCCTAGTACCAGGGCCTGCCTGCCTTTGGCCCTGGACCTACTAGTACACGCTGGGTGCGTGCAGATGCCGCTTGTGTCTGTGTGCCTGGCGTCATCCGGACGCGCTCTGCTAGTTCTGTGTCCTCAGCCCTCAGGCGTGTCGTGGAAGTGGTAGCGAGAGCCTCAGATGTCTCTGGAAACTCCCCCCGCACCACTGGGCATATTCGCTCCCCAGTGGGGAACCCGTGGCTGTTGTCACCTCTCCTGGTCAGGGGGGACCCCTTTTATCTCCCACCATGTTTCTCCCAAACATCACAGTTATATTCCAGTCTGCGCCATTCCCCCCTCCCTCCCCACCCCCCCACCCCCGCCCCCCCCCCCCCACACCACCACCACCCCCTGCAGTCTGGGCCTTAGGAAATCCACACGCACTCAGACTGTTTTTACTTCTCATCTTGCCTCGTGTCCCCTGGAGGTGAGGCAGTGGTGCAGTTGTTGGAATTGGGAGGTCGGCCGGGCAGAGCAGGGACACAAGGGGGAATTTCAGGAGGAAAAACACACCACACGGTACATAGAATTTAATTATTTCCTTTATTTAACCCACAAGCCTGATGGTCCCGTTAGTGGCGAGCGGCTAGGATTAGAATGTGTCAGGGACACCAGGACTGAAGCAGCCGCAGCCTGAGCGCGGGCCACACACTTGTGTTTACAGGAGTAACGTGCTCCCACGTGGCAGTGAGCATCCGTGTGGCTGTCAGGCCCTAAGCTGAGCTGTCTGCAGGGCAACGGGAGGAAGTTCTTAGGGCAGTTCGTACAGGGTGGTTCCAGGATGGCTTGTGCAGGAAATGGTCCGATGGGAACCCCTTGCCAGGCTGTCACGTTCCCTGCTTGATGTAGAGACAGCCGCCACTGTCGGGCCTCAGCACTGCTGTCTGTTCTACAGACCCTCTTAACTCAGAGGTTTTATATGAGTTGCTTTTTTTTTGGTTAAAATATTTTCTTTGTGTGTGACTGTGTGTGTGTGTGTATGTGTGTGTGTGTGTGTGTGTGACTGTGTGTGTGTGTGTCTTTAAAAGAAGCCTATAGTTTTATTTTTTAATATATTTTTATTGCTTTCAGAGAGGAAGGGAGAGGGAGAGAGAGATAGAACATCAATGATGAGAGAGAATCATTGGTCAGCTGCTTCCTGTACACTCCCCACTGGGGATGGAGGCCGAAATCCAGGCATGTGCCCTGATGGGGAGTCAAACTGTGACCTCCTGGTTCCTAGGTCAGCGCTCAACCACTGACCCACACAGGCTAGGCTAAAATGTTTCCTTAATCTCCAGGTTTTTAAAACTATTTGAAGTAAACGATTAAGGAGACAGAGAGGAGAGCGAGCGCCTCGCAGTCTGTCTCCGCGTGTTAACACGTGTGCGTCTTGCTGTTGGTACCGATGTGTAACCGTGTCCCCCGTTCCACAGGCATTTCCTATTCAAAACAGGGACGGGGACCACGCCACTGTTCAGCACTGCGACCCCGGGATACACCATGGCTTCGGGCTCCGTGTACTCGCCGCCTACCCGGCCGCTGCCCAGAAACACGCTGTCGAGAAGCGCTTTCAAGTTCAAGAAGTCCTCCAAGTACTGCAGCTGGAAGTGCACGGCCCTGTGCGCCGTAGGCGTGTCCGTGCTCCTGGCCGTGCTCCTGTCCTACTTCATAGGTAAGAGCCGCGTGGCGGGAGCGTGCTGTCCCCAAGTCGGGACGTTGTGGTTTTGTTGCACGTACCTACTTGTTTGGTCCAGAAGTCTGTTCTGAGGTTATATTTTCTGGGGAAGGAGTCGGTAATGATACATTGTAATTACAGGGTAGTTTACGTGATTTCTAACAAATTTGGGTAAATAGAAAAGTTGCATTTGCATAAAGAACCAGTTATGTTCTTGGACGCAAACTCTAGTGTATGTACGTCTGGTTTTGGCTTATCCCTCATGAAAACATGGGTAACCTGTGCCATTTCACGTTCACAAAGCAATCCATGCCCTTCCAGGAGTGGACACAGGGCAGGAGTCTCCTACGACGCATGGTCAGTAGGCGCTCTGCTTCTGGGGACGGGCCACGTCTCCATCTCCATCTCAGCTCTCAGAATTATCTCAGACTTTTTGTTGCTTTAATGAATCACTAGGTGTAAGTCCCCTCACTGGGGAACACAGTTGCCCCTCAGGAACACTCTCCCGAGAACCGGGCATCCGTGAAACAAGGAAAGGAGGTTTTACTTGCTCGTGGATGTGGATTTGTCAACTCTTCTAACATGGCACTGGTCAAGGTTCCCCCTGCAGAGGAACCCACGTGATGGAAGGGCTAATGACAGTGGTCACTGTTACCTTTGCCTCCTCTGTCACACAGATGAGCACTCAAACTGCGGGAAACTGTTTTCTTTACCTGTCAGGACCACATCCGATTTTGATGGCCTTCTAAGTGTGGGGAAAGGCCTACGATATTGAAATGTTAATGGTGTCCACTGAGAGAAACCCCAGGCTGCGTGGCTGGTCCTACAAGAACCGCAGTCCCTGGTGCATTTCCAAGTTCACAGAGCGACGTGTGCTGCCCCGTGAAAGTCTGTCGCTGAAGGAGGGTGTCACAGAGCTGCGTCTAGAACAGTCGTATGCTTGTGCGGTGGGCCAGTTTCTGTCATCAGCTACAATGCTCCTTAGTTATAAATTACGTACTTTGGAAACGGAAATAACCATTTTGAGCCACAACATTTAAGAGAAAAATAGAACTTTAGAGCGTGAAGGAACTTTAGAGATGATGGAGTCAAGGATGGTAACTGTGTGGCTTGTTATGTACACCTGCTTCCAGGTCTTAGACCCCGGCAGACATCACTCATGCATCAGGCACTCTGTCCCCCTGACCCTGGACACAGCCTCATTAGCCTCAGGGAGCCACTGTCCGTCGGGATGACACCTTTGTGTCAGTTTTCAATCGAAGGTAACTCCCTCCTTGTAAAAAGGGTCAAACCAGCCACCAAAAGGGGTTTCCCTGGGCCGAGATCACACACCGGTGAAGCGATGCTATGCTATTTCATAACATTCAAGGTCAATGAGGGCGGCCACAACAACAAACATCGCTCTTCAGAGATGGATTGCTCGTGTTCAGCTAGAAAATGTCCGTCTGTTAGGAGGGTGTCTTCTGGTTAGCTGGGTAAATTATGTACATTTGTCAGCATTGTGCTGCTGGAGAATCTTAAAGGGTCCGGAAATACATCGGTCATCAGTGGGATGGAATCAATTCAGCTTATGTTTTTGTAGGGGAGTTTTGAACTCTCGTGCATGCCAAACAGATAGATCCTGCGCAGGGCTGGGATTCCGCGTTGCCCAGGGGTAGCCCAGGTGTTGTCGGACATCCTGTCCGACTGTAAGTGCCTGGGCCCCCCACCTGTTAAATCCTTTGAGTATCGGCTCTAACACCCTTCAATTTTATTTATGCGTGTGAGTGGCAGGAAAAATAGCATTTTAATGTGTGATTAGATCACTGTTATTTGTGAGATGTACTTTTTTCAAGGATCCTTTCGTGAATATAATTGAGTATTAGAGCTCTAAGTGAAAGCTCAAATGTTTCTTTTTTTCAAATGGCCCGTTTTTGCTGTTTAATAGTTAGCTTCACCCTATATTGCTTCTAGTACCACACTCCAAAAATTCTCCCTTTGACTTTATCTTTCCCCACAAGGAAGCATACAAATTATATAGTTAATCTACTCATGTACAGATACTTGCTGAACGTTTTTCTGATGATCTGGTTATTGTGCTAGAAATTAAGGCAACGCAACCCAAGGCTTACCTCCCCAAAAGTACTTTTATCATCAAAGAATTATCTCGTATTTTTTATTAGTTTAATTAATCTCAAATAGACTTCCAGTTTTCACTGGTCTTCCTGTGCTTAAGTAACCAGCACGCGTTTTTGCAATGGTTGTCATTGCTGTAGTTTAAATCAGCTAAGGAATTTCTTTTCTTCATCAGTTACCATCGCAAATCTTTTCGGACTGAAGATGCCGCCATGAGCTTTGGAAAAAATGGAGTAGGGCGCTTTTCTCAGGGAAGGTCGTGCACGCCCACCGAGTGTGCGAGTCAAGCAGAGAAGGAAGAGGGCCACCTGCCTGTCCAGTGAGATCCCCCTGATAAACCCTGAATCAATGGGGAAGCCAATGTCCTCATCAGCTTGACCTCCCAACTGTTAACAAAGTGCAGTCTCCTTAAACTTCCCCCCCATTCTCTCCTATTGACTGTCAGTATAAAGTCAAAGAAATATGCAAACTGAAAAGCTTGCGGAATCACTTCTACCCCAGAATTTGCTTTCTCAACTTCCAGTAAAGTCATGAGAAGTTATGAGGATGGAGCTGTAACCTGTCTCTTCTCTGAGGTGAAGTTACCTCAGGAGAGTCAAGGTGTGTAACTTCTGAAATGGAGGGATGAAGGGAGGGGGAGGGGTTTTGTTGTTTTTCTATTCCCATACAATTTTCAGCTAATAAAAGAGGAAGAAGAAAGTGAAAATTAACCCCCATAGATCACTGTGAACTCTTTGCATAGGTCACCACGGTTAACATTTTGGCGTATACCCTTCCAGATATTTTTCCATGCTTATGTGCATCTGGAGTGCCATGCTTTTTAATGCATTTATACCAGGCTTTCTTGCTGATAATGGATGTGTATAATCTTATTTAGCAGCTGTTTTTAATTTACCAGTTCCCAAAAATGCACTGACTGTTTTCTTATGCAAGCATGTGTTTATGCTTTGAGCGTCTGCCCCCTGGTGGTCAGTGCATGTCATAGCGACCGGTCATTTCGCCGTTGAGTCGATTTGCATATTAGGGTTTTATTATATAGGAGCGAATCATTTGTCATATATGTTATGTAGTTTTTCCAGTTTATTATTAACTTGGTTCATGATTTTTATGCCACATACCATATAAAATTTTTTAATTCATCCCATTTATCAATTTTTCTTGATAATTTGTGATATTCTTGTTATACCTATAAAATTCTTATTTAGTCTAAGTATTTTTTTTATTTTCTTCTGTTCTATGGTTTTTCAGTAACTACTTTAGGTCAACATTTTTCTGGACACTCTAACAGATGTTAGAGGTCCAAATTAGCTCTCTGTTCTAGAAACTCACAGTCAAGTGAGAAAGACAATAATGTGAACATACTATTGACGGCATATGCTCTCATAGCTGCAAGGTCCATAGGAGCAAAAAATAGAAGAGAAAAGAAAACTCTCGGGCTGACGATGTTGGGGAAAGACTTGATCTAGCAGGCGATTCCTAAGAGGTAAAGCGGAGGTCAGTTCACGGGGTTTAATGTCAAAGCGGTTAGTGGGCAGTGACCTTGAGAAGAGGTCATCCAAGGCAAGGAAGTTTCATGAACTATCTGCATGGGTGATGGCTGCTCACAGGGCACCAGGCATCATGTCCAAAGCTGTGTGTGAATCGCCTCATTTAATTTTCACAGCAACCCCTGAGTCATTGTCTCCATTAAACAAAAGGGAGTCTGTTGCTGAGAGAGGCCCCTTGTGTGAAGTCACACAGCCTGGGAGTGAGGAAGCTGGGCCAGAAACTGTGGAGGACCCATTTCACTCTACCGCCCCCATGAGGTTTCAAAAGACTTACCATAGAGAAGAAACTAAAAAGTTCAAGCCGTTATGTTTTGTTTTTTGTGTTTTTTTTAAATATATTTTATTGATTTTTTACAGAGCGGAAGGGAGAGGGATAGAGAGTTAGAAACATTGATGAGAGAGAAACATCGATCAGCTGCCTCCTGCACACCTCCTACTGGGGATGTGCCCGCAACCAAGGTACATGCCCTTGACCGGAATCGAACCTGGGACCTTTCAGTCCGCAGGCCAACGCTCTATCCACTGAGCCAAACCAGTTAGGGCAAGCCGTTATGTTTTTAAAAGATTGCTTTAGTGCATTCCAGAACATGGGATTTGAAGGAAGGAAGTCCAGACTTGTAGTTTTCAAACTTCCATGTGCCAGGAGTCACCTGGAGACCCTGTTAAAATGCATCTTCTGATTGGGCACATCTGCGGCAAGAACCCAGGGTCTGCATTCTGACAGGCCCCAGGGGACGCCGCGGTGGCTACAGACCACACCTGGAGCAGCAGGGCTCAGCCAGCACGTCAGGCGCTGCTCTTCGTGATGGAGACGCCCTGTCTCTGCACCGTCCAGTTCAGTGGCCACTGGACACGTGTTACTCATGAGGCCTTGCAGTGTGGCCAGCGCAGCTGCGGAACTGGAGTGTCCGTGTTATTATTGTTCACAAATTTAAACTCCAGCAGCCACGTGTGGCTGTTGGCTACCATTCGGACAAGCACAGACAACCTGTTAGAAACCGCCCCTCAGTGGGCAGTCACGAGGCCCTGTGGGGAGAGAGGAGTGAGCAGGAGTAAGAAGCTACAGCTGGTCCCTCCTAGGACAGACGTGCGAGGGGTTAGCATCTCTTGTTCTTCAACATCAACTGTCCACACTTGGACAGATGGCAAACCTCTTTTCAACAGCCACGTTAAGACTTTACAGGGCTGACCTCCCGTTAAAACCCTTCTCTAGGACTTCAGTTGGTGCGTCTTTACACAGTGAAAATCTGCTGATTTCTAAACAGGCTTGTTGTGTTTGATGATAATAGTGATGCAGATCTATCAAAAAAAGACCTGCCTTACTTTTCCTGGGCC